AAAAAAAACGGGGGGGCTGAGCATGCACACCCCCCCCCCGCCAGGCGTGAGAGTCTGTGAAGGAAGATGCAAGGGGAGGGGAAAGGGCTGGGGTTCAGGGCTGCAGCAGAGAAGCATGGACGCAGGGGGCAGAGGCCGAGCCTAGTTGCGGCCTGCCCCTGCTGGGTGCAAGGATTGTGGGCTTATATGCCCCCCTCCCCCCTCTTCCCAGTGCCACGCCAGCTCTGAAGGAGTCACCAGGCTGCACCGGGCTTGGGATTGGGGTCTGCTGCTGCCGTGAGGTCACCCCTTCCCCCACGCCCACATTCAAAGCAGCAGTGGCAGTGAGGCGTGGGAGCAGAGGTGGAGCCCAGCTGTGGCTTGCCCCTTCCCTGTGCAAAGATCAGGACAGGGCCCACGTGCCCCCTCTTCACTTCCTGGAGCCATGCTGACTCCAACCGCCCCACAACCTGGACCAGCCGGGGCCCAGTTCAGTGTGAACAGGGCCCCAGGCGGGCCGGGTGGCAATCACCACAGTGCAGGAGGGAGCGGGGCAGGGATGGATGATTCACCCTGCCCCTACCTCACTCTCGATCTGTCCCCCACCCCAGCCTGATTAAAAGGAACTTACCTGCCTGATGCTGGGCGCACTATGATCCTGGCTGCAAGCGTGCAGGTATCTGAGTGCGCGTGCGCCCCTCCCCCCTGCGGCCAGGCTGTCCTCTGGCTGTACCTGCTGCCCTGTGTTTGGGGGGACTGAGCCCCGTTAGCCTTCCCCTTCTGCCACTTACAGGCGGCTCCTATACGGCACTGACCACAGGGCCCTCCACAATGCAGGGACCAGGGCAGTCACCCCAATTCATGTACCCCCCACCCCAGGGACAGCACTGTGTATCAGTGCACCTCTAAAGCTGTGGATGAGTGTGCTTCTGCTGGAATAAGCTTTATTCTAGTACAGGTACTTCAGGTCACAACTGATTTAGATTTACAATCTGCTTCATTCAGTAGCCATGGGTAAGAATGCTTAATCTTTGAATTGTTGAAGGAAACAACAGCAGCAGATGCTCATTTCTCAAATGTTTAAACCTTCAACTGTTGAGTTTTTTTGTTTGCTTGCTTTTTCCAGGAGGTAAAACAATCATGCAGCCTGAAAGACTGACAGAGGAAACAGCTTTTCAAATGAATAGCCAGTGCTAATTTTGCCAGGATTCTGCCCAAATCCTCAGATAACTTTCTGTTACAAAAGGCAGTGCACAGTGATTAGCAGCCAGTCTACCACTTGCAGTCTCCTGGTCAAGTCAACATCTACCAGAAAAGGATTCCTCAGAAAGGTATGGAACATGGAGCATAACCAAGGGGCTTTTTATAAGTTTGCAATTAACCAAATTCAAATCTTAAAGGTCAGCAGGTTGCCTATCTGGATAATACAGAAGATTTTCAAGAACAGCATAAAATGGATGGCAGAAGGCTGATTTCTTTCTGACAGGAATGCAGCAGGCAGAAGCAGCAACTAGAAATGGCCATCCAACTGCCAAAGATAATTTCAGTTACTTGAAAAAATTAAATTCTAGAACAAATAGAAGTGGGCAAGAAAGAGCGCAAGTCTCCACCCCCCTAAAAAAAATCTAAACTAGTTCTTCTAGCAAATGCTAAGCTACAATTATAAAATGTATTTCCTGGTTCCCATCCCTATCAGACAGGAAGACATTATCTGACTGGCACTAAGGACCTTGGGATTCAAATGACAAGGTTCTAGGTTACCTTGCAGTAGCTGTCTTGGAAGCTACTTGGGAAGCTTGTCTTGGAAGTTACTTGTCTTCCAAGTAAATAAGAGTAAATAAGTGAACTTTATAAACCTGTGTCTCCATGGCATTTTTGTATTGAAATGCCCCAAGCATCTGAGTTTATCTGAAAGAAGCGATAACCGAAAAATCCAGAAGGGATGATGGGTCAAATGATCAAAAACAATGAATTGATTTTCATGCTTTCAACTTAATATCCTCTAATGCTAATCAATGATGTTTATTCAAAACTAAACAGTTCAACCACCAGCATTCAAACAAATAACAACTTGTAGGTTAAATAAGAATAGGAAGTAGAAACAAATAAAAAGTCTATTCACAATGTTGTCAAGTTAAGGAAGCCTAAAATCAATACAAGTTTCTCTTCTTTTTGCCAGCCAGGTTTCATTTATTTTCTTTTTGAAAGGTCACTGAAGCATTAAAAAAGGTGAGCTTGTCTATATAGATTTTGCTCAATAACAGGATTGCAAATTTTCAGTTACCTAATATAGTAAGGAGACTTTTGGAAGATTTAGGCTATATCTGTGAAATTAACACGCATAAAAAAGTACTAACCTTGTAAGTGTTTAGGCTCCATTTTCTTACAAGTTCCAATTTTTCCATGGCTGGATTCTTTACTTCATCTGCTAGCACAACTGGCCCACTTTTCTGATGCATTCTGCCACCTTTGCAAGATAGAACAAGTTTACCTTTAGGACATAAAAGACACTTGACTTTCAAAAAAATCAAGTATACCAAGTTCATGCAAAAGCCAATTTTGCAGCTAATTTCAGTGCATATGAAAGATGGTAGTGAAATGCATATGAAGGAAACAAAACTGCTCTTAAAAAAGTCAGGTATGCATGTATATGCAATAAAGGAAAACACAAATAATTGATTATTTTCAAAAGATACAAAACCCCACATACATTAATCACTTTATTGAGTAATAAAGTTTACGGTGATGTTTGCAGAGTTTGTTGCTACCTTCAAAATTGCTTTTGAGATGTGCTTCATTATTAAAACCAAACTGGCAGCCTCTATAGCCAACACCCAGCTAGAGTTAGCTAACCTAAAAAAACATTTTCATGCTCTCCAGGCAATTAATAATTTACAGAAACATATGAACTGCTTGCTATAGCCAAGAATAATCAACACATGATATAAACAAATATCTAGAGCAGGGGTGGCCAGCCTTTTTTACATGTATGCCACAATTAAGCCCTCCTCCCCCGCAAGTGCCTCTCTCATCCACTCCCACACAGGCACATCTGATGGAGTTTGCACATTGAAAAGCCAAAGGGAGGGAACGGTTAAGCCACGATCATACAGAGCAGAGTAGGATGCTGCTGTAAGAGTGGCCTCCTCTGGTCACTGAACCCTGAGCTTGGGATCCTCACTCACCATGTAAAAATGAGCTGGTTGTTGGGCAATGGACAGGTTAACATGACTTGAGGCAGTAATATCTGACATCTCTTGCAACAGTTTCCCGTCTCTGTTCTGCTCCCTGATTCCTTTCTGGTGCCTCTTTACTTAACACCGAGGGCTTGCATGCTACCCACAGCAGTTGTCCATGCCACTTGTGGCCTGAGTGTCAGTAGGGAAAACTATTCAATTCTGCACTAATCTTTTTTATTAAATGTTTACAAACACCGACCTCAGAAATGATAACAATCACAGGTTGGTTGGCAGCATGTTTACCATGTCTGCAGTACCAGCCCAAATTATGCCAAGTGTATTAACACCCTACAAATAAAGGGGGGAAACGACATATGAAGGGCATGGTAGTTTGCTTGTACATGCTTTCTTAGTGTACTTCACTGCATGTACTGAGAGAGCCATGCTGACTTCCATTCTAAAAAACAACAGCATAGAGTGCCTGCCAAATGCAAAAGGAGGAGTCAGTATAGAAACGTTTAATTTCCTTTGAAAGTACTATCCTGTGTAAACAGAACTGAGATGCTAACAAAAAGCCAATCTAAACTTGAGGGGAGAAGGAAATACATATCTATCCATTCATCATATTTTGTGTAACCCCAAATATGGTATATTATATAATATATTATTTATATATTAACGAAATAATATTACACAGCCAGATTATTTTGTTAACAAGGGTTTGAAAAATGAGAAGATGTCTGTAGGTATCTACAAATATTCCTGTAACACTGGCTGTGTCTATACAAGACACTGACCGCACAGCAGTAATGAGCTACTGCACAGTCAGCATCACCTAAAAGCCATTTGGCAATGCTACTGCATAGTAACAACGGTTACCGCACAGTCATTTAATACTTGTATAAGCAAGTACTAAATGACTGCACAGCAATAACTGTGCAGTCAGAGTCTCGTGTAGATGTAACCACCGAGTACTTGCAAGTTTTAAATCCTTAAAGTACTAAATAATCATCATAAGTAATTAACCCTCGTAAGATGCTCAAGAAAACTAAATTACCATTTTCCCCTTTTTAAAGAGAGGGGAAATGGACATAAAAGATGGAATAATTCACTGTCAGCAACAGATCAAATCAGTGAAAGCACGGTTGGATGTTGTGAATTTCCAAAGTCCTATCCTATGCTTAGCCTTTTGGATTGTGTTGCTCCTTTTGGCAGACAAAAGAAGAATGCTGAGAGATTTAGCATCGGTATAAATTGAGAGATTTAGCACCTGCATAAATATTTTTTTTAATGATTGTTTGTTTTATTTGTTGTTTAAAGAGTAAAATCACATAGATTACATTTAATGCTCTGGAAACAGAAAGCTATACAGAAAGAAAAGCACAGGTTACTTTGCAAACTGTTAAAGCTTATAAGCCCAGAGGTGAAAGAACTACCAAAAAAGCCAGAATTGCATCCCCACCTAGTAATAAATCAAATTATTACAGATATTAAGGAGTTAGTGTTGTCAGCAGAGACAAGGGCGTTATCTGCTCAGTGCAGTGAATACCTGTGGGAATAATTAAATCACAACCTTGTCCAGCCAGTCTGCTAGCTGCTGCACTGCTAGGAGATATAACAGATGATTTGGGTGATGCTGAGGAACCTGAAAGGGGGACACATTTAACCATAAAAAAAATTAAATTTCTTCTTAAAAAGAAAGATGTACTCTTTATGTATAAACAGACAGTTTTTAATATTGGAGATATGCTTGGCTCAGCAACTAGTAGAGTGTATGGAAGAATCGTTAGAATTTCTGGTGGAAAGTTGCAGCTGTTCATGTGAACTACTCCAAGTTATCCTAAGTTAATCATTTTTCCCCTCTAACAAGAAATTGGCAGCATGACGAAAATTTCTCAAAATACAAGTGACAGATGCAGCAGGCAAAAAACTCACAAACATTATTTCATGTAGCATTAACTGTTTAATATGGGGTTTTTTCAATAGGAATCTGATTTTTCAATTGTAGGTAAAATTCAATCTGTACTTTCAATGGGTTATAACTAGAACTTTGAGGTACTTTAACCCTGGTTTCAATTCCAGGTTTACATTAGCAGGTGCAAGAACAAAAGTTAATTGTGTATAATTACACACACATGCGTTGGCATGCTATGCAATAATGTGAGATCTGAAGCGAGACATTAGGGATCTAAAAAGTTAACATCTTTTGAGAAGAGAACTTTCTACTGAAAAAAATATTCATTCCATTAAGCATACTTAAGTTATTGGCATCACTTACTCCCAGAGTTTTGGATATTCTAATGTGCTACTGATGGATTTGTGCATTTCCAATCACAAAAGAGAAATAATCAAGTTACTCATTTAACTGCAGCAAAGGCAGCCTTACAAAATTTTACATAATAGTTTACTTTATTTTGGCATTAGCTAGTTAATATGCAAGTGAGAAGTTCATTTTGTGCCTCAGTTGATAAACTGATAAGCTATTTTTTCAAAGCTTTTTAAAGATCTACTGGGTCAACATGCCTTCAAAATAGTCCTTGAACACACTAGTGACTTCCACAAGTTATTTCACAGATTCACCATCACCAAAAACATCTCCCTAAGTAATTGAAACAATTTTTTTTTTCTAATGTCCATTATGGAATCTTTGAAGCATGAAGCGTCTCCCCTCCAACTGTAAATATAAACACTTTAATCACATCGGTAGACTACACCAAAAAAATTAAATTAAATTAAGGCTCCAAGACTTTAAACTTGTCCTTTCCTGTCATAACGTTCTGTAATAGCTACAACTGGATTCTGAAGTTACAGAAGACTGACTACAGAATCTTACTGAAAGTCTAGGGATGTATAAACAAGCTAGGAACAGCATTTCATTCATATGTTCATAGTTTCGCTTCCATCTTGCACAGCAATATGCACCCTTAGTTATGATTTGTTTTTCATACCTCCCCATCTAAGGACTTCAATTTTTATTTTTTCCCTCTTATTAAGTCATTTTGACAAGAGTTGAAAAATGTTTAAAATGGGACAATATTTTATCTTTTTATTATTTGTAACAGTTGAGGTCTAATTTTCCACAAGGAAGTTTCCTAATTCCTCATTCACAAAAAGACGATTAGGAATAAATTATGTTCTATACCAGTGGTGTTCAACCTTTGGCCTCAGGGGCCAAGTGTGATCCACAGGGCCATGTCACCTGGACTGCGGGACTCCCCATGAGTCTGGAAATTTGGCAGCCAGGGGGAGCAGTGGCAGCATTTAATTGCTGTGACTTTCATAACTACGGCCATTAATGCTGCCATGACTCCGCAGCTGCCAAGTTTCTGGAGCTCTGGGGACACCTGTGAATTGGATGACAGTTGTGTGTGCCAGTTCAGGCTGAAACCATATTCAGCACAAAGGGCTGACTGGTTCTGTGGAGTCACTCTGAAGCCAAATCCAGCACACAAGGCCAGGCTGGCATGCTGGATCATACCAAGGACTGACCCTGCACACTGACCCCACGCTGGATCCAGCCTGCAGAGTGGTTCTTCGCCACTTATCTAGCCCATGAGGCCAACAAATTAAACACCACTGTCCTACACATCTTATACAAGTTCCATTGCTAAAATAGCTGCGCAAGAGGCAAAGATTTCTTAGTAGGGGTGCACCGATAAAGATTTTCTTGGCCGATACTGATAGCTGATGAGTAATCAACCATATTGACTGATATCGATCTGATAACTGATATTTAGTAACGGTGCAAGGCATTTTAAACTACTGACATAAATAAACCCTTTTGTTTATTTGTTTTGCATTTAACACACACACCTGCCTCCTGCCTACTCCGGCCCTCGATCAGGAGGGCGGTGACCACCTTATTCCCACGCATGTTGCTCCCTTGCTCATGGCTCCTACCCGCAGCCCCGCTCAACCCATGCAGCTGTCCCAAGCAGGTGGGGCAGACCCTCCCATGAACAGCAGTGCCAGGCACATATGGAGCCCCAGAGTACACTGTTGCCTCAGTGCTGGCAGGCTCCGCACAGCCAAGCTCCCATGGCCACCGAGGAGAAGCTATTTTTGCAAAAGTATCCAGTGCCTAGTGGAGCAGAAAGAATGTCACTCGCATAGTACTTTCCCCTGCCTGCACGCAGCCCATTGTCCCAGGAGCAGTCCCAGTGCTCAGGCCCCTGCTGTACGCATGGCTTGCCCTGGCAGCAGCAGCAGAAGCCAGTAATGGTCCCTTTGTTGCTGAGCATGGTGCCCAGTGACAGCTTCCTGGCGCTCCCTCCACTTCCCCTTCCCACTGCTCGCTGGAACCTGTAGTCTGCCACAGGCTTGGGCTGGCAGTAGGGTGTGGTGACCAGACTACACTCACTAGGATGCGCTGGGCACGCGGCTGTAATTATTGGCTACAATGACCAAAAATAGCCGATAATGTAATTTCTCCTTTATCAGTGCTGAACCAACAGCCAACCAATACATCGGTGCACCCCTGTTTCTTAGGATGATATCCTTTATTGGACCAACTATGAGGTAGTGCAAGTGTGATGTTGTAGCCATGGTGGTCCAGAAATTATGGAAGAGCTAAGGATTTCTTACCAACATAGAGTATTTGCAATATTCCAAAATGATTAACACAGCTTGAACAGCGTCCTGGACACCAGTTAGTTATCTTCTACAACAATGGCTGTTTCATGGATTTCTTACTTCTTTACAGACAGAGTAAGTGTAGTGATGGAGAACACTTGTTTGCTATACATTTATACAGCTTCTATTAGCCAGACAGCTAGAGTCAAAGATGGTGAAACCAAGACATTAAATATGTAACTTTTTTTTATGTCAGGATATAAACCAAAATGTAAAGTTTTAAACTTATAAAAGCAACAAATGATATATGTAAATTAATTTGCTGCTACAAAGACTCATTTTCACATCTGCTCATTTGTTATTCATTTAGGTCTTTTAAATTCATAATTCTGCTCTAGATAAAATAAACCACGTAATAGTTTATTACAACTTCACATGAATGTCCTGTTTCCTGGTGTTCATTATTGTTTCCAGACACAGTCGGATGAAGAGAAACAAAGAGTGATATCACTAGTTTATTTTATAATTTCAGCATTAGCTTTAATTACATACTAAAAATGGTTACTAGGATACAGTGTGAAATTTACATTCAATACAAAAAACCTACTAGCTTGTGATTCATAGTGCAATCAAGTCAGTTTTCAAAAGACTTAATTCCCCTGAAGTACAGCATTTGTTTAAAAATCACAGATGTTAAATATGTTCCCCCCCCCACCCCCAAAGGATGTAGCCTTTTAGTACATTAACAGCAAAACTAGGTCTATTCACATTGAAGAATCCTGTGGCTCTATGCTCTTCTATTTTCAGTATAATCCAATTTTTTTCATACTTACAGGACCTTAATATATGCACCATGATAAAAAGGGGGCAGGAGGGGGAATTCAGTGTCAGTAGAAACAGCAAACCTAACACTGGGGAAGTTCTAATTCTATTCACTTTAGAAAGCTAAACTGGCTACTGAGGAGTGATAGTTGGGAAGAAAAAAAATAAAAATCAATTCCACTATGTAAGTTTACAATAAGTTTACTTCTAATTCTTTAAAGATAATTAGGGTTCTAAACAAAATAAAAGTTTTACCATAAATAGTTTCTTCTTTCTTTGGAAAGTTTCATATATATTACATTAACACACATCTAACATGAAGAAACATCTTTGTTATGAGTTCTGAGAAACTGATAAGAAAGGCAACTCTTACATAAAACTGGAAGCTAGTTAAAAAGTGGTTATAGTCTGTTAGCAGTTTTTATTTTCCCCTTGAGAAACTGAAAATCTAATATTGCCATTTTAGTAACGAGCATGTCGCACCTTCACAATCATTACTATACAAAAGTGATCAAGGCAGCTGTCAAGTCTGAGAAACTGATAACTGGGGTGGATTTCATGCAATTCTGAAACAAACCTATATCAGTTGAATTGTTATCATTAAAAATTGAGACATTCAAGCAGTTACTATTACCTTGGAATGGTCCTGCTTCAATGACTCCCTCTTTGGTGTTGTCAGAGCCATGAGATGTTATTTTAGTTTCAGAGAGTCCAAGTCCAACTGGTAATGAATGTTTCAAATCCTTGGAAACGTGAATAAAAAGGAAAATTCATGCAAAAACCCAAATAAGAAAACATTTAGGTATTACATTATCTTTTGCAGATCACTTTAAACTATTCTGTCTGTGGCACAAAACCTCATTTATGGTGTAATGGCATTCTATTATGATGCATTAGGGCCAAACACTCTTATAAACCTGTTGTAGTGTTTACAAAATACATTAGAGGTTAAACTCTTTTTATTCACTGAAGTAGATGAAAGAAACACACTTCCCTCTGCAATTTCAATTTACTGAATAAGTCATTTAGGCACACAATACATACTTAGCTTTATTTTTCAAAGTGATTAACTCCTACAAACATCTCACTAATAACTGGGAACTAGAAGCCTCTCCCATCATCACCCTCATGTAGGCTTGTTCACGTGAGAAAACAGACTAAAATAAATGATTTTGCAACAGTTGCCTATGTGGACACACACACTCTGCACTGAGTACCTTTGTGCAGTTTAGTCCACCTTGAAAAGTAAACTAAGCTGCAGAAATCAGAGGGCCAGATCCTATTCACCTCTGCTCAAGTCCCTAGGAAAAACAAACAAACAAAAAAGCATTAACAAGCCTACATTTATAACATGTTATCATATTATTTTAAAAGACAAAGTCACAAAAAGCAGGAGCAAGACTAGCACCTTTTGATTTAAATGCTTTATGGGACTCAAGCAGAATGAAGTAGGATCACTCTCAGGCAGTTAAGAGGTGGAACAAGATCCTGTCCTGAGTATCCACTTGGGGACTAATACAGAAGAACTGCTATTAAATTCACAGTCTAGAAGGGGTCGGAGTAAAGGAAGGGTGGAGGGGGAGGGATGGCAGGAAGGGCAGGGGAGGGAATTACATAGGTTTTTTCCCACAGGAAAGCCAAAACAACATTTTTCCCCTATTTATTGGATGTGTAGAGCCAAATACATCTTTAAATGCTTTGTTCATGCTCATCGCTTACAAATATCTCACATGTTCACACATATATTGTGAACACACTAAATGTAGGCAATAGCTAAAATGGATGAGACAAAAATTACGCAACACGTACACCCAGATTACAAGACAGAGAAACCCGTGGTTGACATATCAGGAACACTTTCACCTCAAAATAAAATTTAAAAAATAAATCAAAATGCTTTCCTGGTTAGTCTTAGGCCTAAAGTCCTGAGCACCAGATCTTCTTTCAGCTTCAAGAAACTGACCTCCACCTTCACAAGCAATATAGGTTTATCTCAGCTATAAAATTCTTAAAATCCTGTTAATGTATTAAAAGACTGAAGCATAGTTCTGCTTTTGCAAAGGTCACCTAAAATAATATTCTGTAATCTATTCACACATCTGACTTCACTGCATTTTTAAGTTTACAACTAACAAACTTTTTAATAAAAAACTGCAACCATATAAAGGGTGAATCTTTATTAGACAATACAACATGTTTGCACATCACTAAGATTTTTATTGTGTTTTAGAAGCAAAGATAAGGCTGTTATAGTTCTAGCACATGTCTGAAGGGCAAGCTAAAACCTAGGTTCTGTCACTGTCTTCACTTCAGTTTGTTTAATGCATGTGAAAAGGATTGCTCTTGTGCTTCCACTTGTAATAAGAACTTCTGGGACTTTTCATTGTGTCAGCAAATATTAGGTAAGCATCAGCTTTGGTCTAAAAGTTAGCTGTGTCTTCACTCTGTTTTTCAGTTAGAACACCTACCTCAAGCTAGATATAACACCATTTTTGGTGAGAAGACAGCCTAAAGTCATTGTTAACAAGACCTGAAGACCATTTTCAACTGTTGTATTTAAAATTTAGCAAAGTTCTTTCTTGAATATCTTATTTACAAGAAAGTTAAGACTTGGGTAGACCAAAACTACTTAAGGATTCATATTGAATTTAAACAGTTTGGGGCATTTTTTGGTCTAAATATTTTGCGCTCATATTTTCAAATGGATATATTCTGGGGATTCCTCCAATCCCATTTTAAAAATGTATTTGCTTTAAAAATTCTAAATTCTAAAAGGATAAAGATCTCCCACCAAAAGTCAAACTTTTAGTTTCCTCTAAAATGAAATTTTTGCCATTGGCACTTTTCAGAACTACCAGTGAATCAAAATAATCAACTATTCATACAACTTTAGTTATATTACTACAAAACATTAAATGAAGACCAAAGCCAGGTATAAACGAAGCATAAGTGAACAATGTGTTTTGGACTAGTAATAATCCCTACAATTGTGTCTTCAGAATTCTTTTGCTACCAACAACTGAAAAAGATTAATCTTTACATTCAAGTCCCCAGCTGTGTTTGTGAAGTTGGTAGTTAGAAAAATCATGTTTGACAACTGAAGAAGTATAATGAGGAGATGGATATAAATATGGAATTCCACTTTCATTTTTATTTAGTCATTCACCAGAGGATTACATTTTAAAACAAAACCACTGAATGGAGTTGCTTGTCACTGAAAATATGGGATTCCCCAGCCTTCCCGGTTAGTTGCCCTTCCCTCACGAAAGGAAGTGTGAGTTTTTGGTCACCTGACCTCTTCCACTTCTTAGAAGAAGCAACACTGTGCATTTTAAAATTAAAATTACTCCTGTATTTGGAGGGCTGGCAGTGAAAAAGAGCAGAGAAAGCATTCACACTACTGCTAAATGCTAGCTTGGAATGTTAATAGAATAGAAGCTAAGTTCATTTCTTTTCTCAGGCTTTTCAGAAAAAAGGATGAACCAAACAATATTTGTGCACTCAGAGCTGGAATGGTTTCCCCCTACCCCACCCCAACAACTACCATTTTTTGATATTGGAAACACTGATGATGTTTGAATTACTTAATCATATGAGCAAGACCTCTCTAGAGCCACAAATAGATGCTTTACTTTATATAAATACAAAGTGCCTGCAAAGTTAACAGGAAGGGTGACAAGAATATTTAATTTCTTACTAATAGACTGGCATTAGGATATCAAGTTCTCCAAAATAAATATTTGTGCGATTCCAGCTATGGTTTTGGGGGTTTTTTTTGCTTTTGTTAGGCAGTAATAATTCATCCAGATTCAATTCATTAGATAAATATGAATGTATATCAGGCAGGATGTGTGAAAAGCTTGATCTGATCAGGTTCTTAAGGGGTAGGGCTTAATATTGTTTTTATCTTAAATTTAAGACATAGGAATGAAATGTAAATAGGAACATGTAGAAACAAGCACACCAAGTCTACTTCTCAAAAAGTAACTTAATTTTCTATAGTATAAAGCCATATGCCATGTACAGACATGCAGGTTCTCTTAAAAGAGTTGCTGCCCTCCCAGAAGAAACCATGGGTGTTCAGGATATTTCTTCCAGAGCAAACATGGATCAGTCCAGGAAAAAAAATAACCCAGGAACAACCACAGTTAAACTTCTAAGCGAGTTTCCCCTGGGAGAGACAATGTCTGTACATGTTCTTTTCTGAGAGATGCCATGGTACAGTCCTCCAGCACCTCAACCATTGTCCTTTGTTTCCACACTTCCCAAGGAGACTGTGTCACCTGTTGGACTTTTACTAACCAAGCACGGAGCAAAACGTACCCCCTTCTCAAGAGAGGAGACACAAGCTGACCCTGAGCAGTCTGGATCAGCCAATCAATGCTGCTCTGTGCACTGCTGCCATCTGTTTTCCGGCAGACTGAGGGGGTCTGCAGAGTACACCAAGTTGTGCGCACAGGCTGTGCAATGTCAACACTGCAAGCTCTCTCTGTTCATCAAGGGTTTGGCATCAAATGTCTGTTCAGGGGCCTCTGGGTAAGTTTTTCTACTAGGAAAACAAACCTGGAAGACTTCTCCCAGATCATTTTAACATATGTATGCAGCCTTAAATAAAACATTGGCAAAGACCTCAAAGTTCTGATACTGCACATGAATCTTGTGATAATACTATTTAGTGACCAGATGAAAACATGAAGAAAACCTCTTCCTCCTGAGCTGACAAGTATTTAATTATCTCTTTCC